GGGTAAAATCGTTGATTTCCACTGCTTTTTCCAATGTTTTTCGCCTTCTCACGTTTTCCCGCTTCCAACCCTCCAAGATCGAGGATTTTGGGACAAAAGAGGAAATTCCAATAATTCCCTGTTATTCATCAAAGTGGAACTCCAACTCTGGGGTCCTACACATCCCCTGACATCTGGCCGGTACCGCGCCTCCCGGCTTCCTAACGGTTTCGCGGAGTCTCCGAAGGCCGCAAGGAATCCGGAAATTTTAGATTTGGGTTAGATGCTCATCCATTCAGGACTCAGGACAGAAATTCATGCGCGAACCAAGAATGTCCATCTCTCGTTCAAGTGCCGTGTGGGATAAATAATGCTGGGGTATTTAATTGCATGGCGCTGCAGCCTAGGGTAGCAGCGTCTTTCACGCAGCAGGATCCAGCGAGCTGCAGCCCAAGGTAGCAGCTCATGTACAGCGCTGGTCGCTGCATCCCAGGTACTTTCTACTCAGAGCAAGCGCGAGAAGATGCCCGCGGCAGAACTATCATAGAGAAACAACACGGCGGGCGGACGGACGACGGACGTCGGACGACGGAAGAAGACGACAGGACCGCCCATGGGGGAGGGGACCTGGGGTGGCCCTCGGGTGGCCCACTTTTCCCAAATCCCCCCCGTCGCAACCCAATTTGCTCCCCCTTGGCTCTGGGATCCGCTTTGGGGTTTTTGGGTGATTCTTTCGGCCTGAAGAGGGTTCCAAGCTGGTTTAGGAGGACGCCCGCTGGCCGCCAAGATGGCCCCTTAGTGGTCCAAGACGCTCCAAGATATTTCAAGGCGGCCCCCTGGGGCCACAATATGCCCCAGTGGAACTCCCAAAGGCCCTCCCAAATGACCCCAGAGAGCCACAAACGCGAAAGCCATTCAGGTTTCTCCATATTCAGTAAATCTCACGCTCGTCTCCTTCGGATGGCTTCGGGAACAGCTCGAAACTGGCCCACGCTGGCCCTGAACAGCTCGAAGCCCCCGCATAATCCCAAGCAGGAGGAGGCCGTCGATAAGAACGAGAAACGAAAAGCGAGGACAACCGAGAGAGTCCAGAGGGTTAACGAGGAAGGACGTGTAAGGAAGATTGGAGAACGAGGTAAGGCAAGGCATGGCATGAGCCTGTCCGAAAAGCATGCGCAGCTAACAATGCCATGGCATGCGCTAGAACCCAAGCGCGCGCGAAGCGCGCGCGCGCGGTTCTATATAATATAAATGCATACCGCCCCCCCCGGCCCCGGGTCCCACAGCTCCCCGCCACATCTCGGGGACGCTCCCGGTACCGCTCCCCCAGCCTTTCCGGGGAGCCTCCACAGCGTCCCAGGAGGGCCCAAGACGCCTCCCAGAAGCCCCCAGAATGCGAAATAATGGTTTTAGACGCTCCCGAGCAGCCCAAATCAGCTTTCCGACGGCTCTCGGGGCTCCCAGGTGGCCTCCAATAGACCCCAAGAGAGGTCCGAGAGGCGTCCCGGGACGGCCCGAAGAGGCCAAAATCGTAGATATTAATAATTGTTTTTTCATGTTTTTGGCTTCTCGCATTTTCGAGCTTCCAATGGTCCAACAGCGCCGAAGAGCCTCCCAAGACTGCCCCAAGACCACCCATGAGACTCTCAGGACAGCCCCAAGACGGGCCAAGTAGGCTCCAAGATTGCCGAAGAGGCGCCCAGGACAGCCCCAGACCACCCCAGAACAGACCCAAGATGGGCCCAAGAGCGGGAACAGGAGGTTTCCAGTGACCTCCGAGAGGCCTCCAGGACCCCCCAGAGGCCCCCAACACACCCCCGATCCTTGAGAGGCCCCCAAAGACACCCGACGAGGCTCCAAGAACAGCCCAAGAGAGCTGCGAGAGCCGCCCCGAGGTAGCCCAAAGAGGGTAAAATCGTTGATTTCCAGTGCTTTTTCCAGTATTTTTCGCCTTCTCACGTTTTCCCGCTTCCAACCCTCGATGATCGAGAATTTTGAACAAAAAGAGGAATTCCCAGAATTCCTTTTTTTTTTTTTTTCAAAGTGGGACTCCTACTCGGGGGTCCCACACATCCCCTGACATCTGACCGGTACCGCACCTCCCGGCTTCCCCGGGGGAGACCCCAAGGAGCCAAAGGACAGCCCATGACGACCTCAAGGAGCCCCCAGAACTTAGAGAACGGCGCAACACGCTCCCGCGCAGCCCGAGACACCCTTCGGCGGCTCTCCAGGCCCCCAGGAGGCTTCCAGAAGCTCCAGGGGGTCCAGAAGATCCCACACCCCTGAGGGGCCCGGCTAACAAAATCCGCGAGGCACAAACAAAAAAACAGCGCCGAACAGCGCCGAGGAACTGGAAAAACATGGAAATCCCACAATTCAATTTTTTTCAAGTTTGGCCCCCGGTCTACTCTTGCACAACAGACCACAATTCAGACCCCCCTCACCTCCCAAAAAAGAACCCAGGAAGCCTTTGAGGACCCCAAATCGTTGAATACCAAAAGGGAATTTATGATTTCTGCGTTTCCGCACTTCCCCTTCTATACGATTCCGAGGCTTGAGCAGGGCCTCCAAGGGAGTCCCTGGACGCAAGAAACGCCAACATTATAGTACATGAGTTAACCTATCAAGCCTAGCTAGAACTTGAGCGCGCGCGATGCGCGCGCGATGGTTCTAGTCTATGTATATGTACACAATATACACATAAGTTTATATGTACATGTTTATGCCTGTATAGGTATGTGTATATGTATGTGTATATGTATATGCATATGTATATGCTTAGGTATGGGTATGTAGATGTGTCCCGCTATATTGATATGTATGTGTGTATCATTACATCTACGTTTGCATACTTATAGGAATGTGTATGTACACATGTATGTATGCATGCATGCGCGCATTCATGTATGTCTATATTTATGCATGTATGTATGCCTGTATGTATGTATGTGCAGGTGCATGTGTATGTGTATATGGGTATGTGTATGTCTATGTCTATGTATATGTATGTGCATGGGTATATGTATGCGTATATGTATATGTATATGTATATGTATATATGTATATATGTATATATGTATATATATGTATATATGTATATATGTATATATGTATATATGTGTATATGTATATATGTATAACTGTGCATATGTATATGTATATGAATATGTATATGTGTAGGTATTTGCAGGCGTATATGCAGATGCAGATGAAAATGCAGATGAATTTGCATATGCATATGCATATTCATATGCATATGTATATGTATATGTATATGTATTTGTATATGTATATGTGTATGAATATGTATATGTATATGCATTTGTATATGTATATATATATATATATATGTGTGTATATGTATATGTGTATATATATGCACATGTATATGTGTATATATATGTATATGTATACGTATATGTATATGTATATGTATATGTATATGTATATATATATGCATATGCATATGTATATGTATATGTATATGTATATGTATATGTATTTGTATTTGTACTTGTATATGTATAAGTATACGTATATGTATATACATATGTATATTTATATGTATATGTATATGTAGATGTAGATGCATATGCATGTATTACCATACTCATGTCTTCATTGATGTATGTATGGGTATGTATGTATGCATGTATGTATATCTGTATGCCTGTCTGTGTGCCTGTCTGTCTTCATGCATGCATGCATGCATGCATACATGTATGTACGCATGTATTTATATACACATGTATATCATTTGCTGGGAGCCCGAATCTGGGATCCCCTGGGCCGCAGCACACCAGGAACATCTGGAATACAATACGTTCCCCCCCTTCCACCCCAAGGCCTTCCGGGGACCTCCCCAGGGCCTCCCTGGAGCTTCCCCAGCCTCCCCAGAGCTTCCAGCTTCCAGATCGGTTCAAAATCGGTCAAGATGGCTTCCCTACGGACTAAGATGGCGTCTAGACGGCTCAGGAGGCCCGCAAGACGCCCCAAGACGACTCCCAGAGGATCCCTAAGAGGACTCGAAGAGGCAAAAACCGTTCCATTCCGCTCGGGCAACGCACACTTCTAGCAATGTAGTTTTTGTTTTTTTTGACAGCGTCCAAGACAGGCCACGAGCCCCCAAGAGAGCCCCAAGGCGGCCCAAGAGGTCCCCAAGAGTTCCCCAGGGCGGCCCGCGAGAGCCGCAAGACGATCCAAGAGGCGGCAAGGACCGCCCAAGACGGCCCCAAGTGGGCCCCAAGAGGTGCGCCAGGCCCCAGGTGGGGGGGGGGGAGGCTCGAACTGAGATGTCGAGGCCTCTGCCCCAAGTGGATCCCAGAGACCGCCAGCAGGCCCCCAAGGACCCCAACAGGCATCCACGAGGTCTCAGACCAACAACCCAGGCACCGCGGCAGGATGGGCCGAAGGCCACTTGGAGTCGCAATGCCCAGGGGCAGCACACTTCCCTCCCTCCCCCGTAACCCACTTTCGCCCTAGAGGCCGGCAGGCCCTTTTGATGTCTTCAGGGGACCCTCTTGGCCTCCAGAGGCTTCCAACATGGCCCAAGAGGATGCCAAGAGGCCGAGGACGCTCCACATCACCCTGGGACGGCCCTGGGAGGCCAGGGTATGCTTCAAGAGATGTTCCAAGAGGCTCTTCACGAGGCTTCAGATAGCTACAAGTATCTTCCTGGGGACCCAGAGGGCTCGAGTGGACCCCCAAGGGCCTCTCGAGGGTCACCAGACAGCCCAGGCCGGTCCGAAGAGGGCCTCTTAGAGGGCAGAATAGGGCCCCCCAGAGGAGCCCCGGACGGCCCTAGGCGAAGATCGGGACAAAATCGGATCGGGATAATTCGAAATCTCTGAGAATCGGCGGGTTTGGAGGATGTATTATTGGGCGCCGCGGCCGCTCCAGAGCGTTCCGGAACGCTCTGAGAGCGCTCCGGAACGCTCTGGAGCGATTTATCCCGATCCTAGCCCTGTTTTTAGAAGGTTCAAGGGCCCAAGAAGCTATCAAGACTGCCCACAGACGGCCCCAGGAGAGCCAAAGAGGTGTCAAGATGCCCCCCCAATCTCGTAGCATTTTCGGCTCAGACTTTAAGTGTTTAGAGGAGGAGTATTCATGCCTGAGGGCAGGCGCTTCTTTCTGAAAGAACAGCCTGACTTATTCCGAGCTGTCCACCCCAAACGTGTTCTACGTTGCTTTGGAGAGGTGTTCAATGAATCAGCGTTCGAAACAGCTGCCGCCAACTCGACTCTGCAAACACAGTCCTCTGGTCTCCTCGATGTAAGCACAGATGTGCATGAAGCATCTCACCAGGTTTCTCATTATGCAGGCAACGATGCGCACGAAGAAGCTGACCAGTTGTATTACTCATGTCAGCAGGTAGATCGAGCTGGAGCTTTTCTGAGCCACGTTTGGGCAGCGGCTCGTTGGCTTAAGGTTCTGGCGTTGTATTATTACATGAACATCGAGTCGGCGGTCGTTGCCAGTGTCGGTGCTTGGGTTGCGGCAATTTGCGTAATGGTGATCAGGAACGGCCCAACTGGCATGGGAGCGCAACCAGGTTTGCTCATGGTCTTCTTGGGCCTCCCAATGTTGGTATTTCTTCTCGTGTTGTGTGGTGGCCATTTGATTCGAGTTCCCGTTCAAACCATGTGGCTGGATAAGCTGAGCATCCATCAGACTCGCAAGGATCTACAGAGTAAGGGTGTGAGTGCCATTCCAGAATTTGTTGCAAAGTCGGATCGGATGATTGTCCTGTGGAGTGACACATACTTCGAACGCCTGTGGTGCAATGCCGAGGTCGCAACCTTCGCAGCAATTAACGGAGCTTCCAGGCTCGACATGCTTCCTCTTTGGTTAGCACCATGGATTTTCGTAACGATGGCTCTAAACATTGTAAGCATCATGATATCCAGCAAGCTTTTCGTTTGGATCCCTCAAGCAGAAGTGTACATTAAATCAACAGGTATTGTTGAAAAACCCTCTTTGCTGACGTTTTCTTCGCTCTTCGTTGGCGTAGGGTGTGCCTTCACTGTCGCCTATGTGCCTCTGATTATACCTACTTTGTATGCTACCCGCACCAAATTCAAGCTACATTTAAACATGATGGCGCAATGTAAAGAGTTCACGTTCGAACACGCGAAGTGTCGATTCGAGAGCGATCGTGAGGTCGTTGCAGATCTGATCAAGTATCTGTGGAAGGACTACGCACATCCCATTGGAGCGTTTGACGAATTTGTCAATGAGAAGCTCAGCAACCACGTAATAGATTCTATAGGGTCAGCCACTCGGATCCCATACCGTTGTTGCCTTTTGCTGTTTTTGCCATTGTTGTTTTCTTCGGCGTCTAACGTATTCGGATGCGATGGCATGCCGTGCGAAATGGCTGCTGAGATTGAGCTGGGAACAGGCGTTCAACCCGCCCAGCAAATGCTCACAAATGCAGCGGCCTGGGCCGTAGGTTTTTTCGGTGTGTATCCTACGGTTTACCCGGTGCTGCTCTATCTCATGAACGTCGCGCGATCTAATTTCGAATTCGACCCTTTTGCCCGTATTGTCACCGAGCTCTGCGCAATCATTGTTTCGTACACGTACATGGGATTTCACGAAGGGTTCGCGGCAGGGGTCATCAATGCAGCCAGTTCAGAACTCGTCAACGGCAGCACGCGAGACATTTGTCTCTGGATGGGTGCTCTCGTGGTCTACCTCGTACTCCTGATCTTTTGGAACTTACATCTGTTCAAAAGGAGTTCCACCGATCATCTATTTGAAGCCGGGGACTTCATCAGAATACCAACTGGGTACACTGGGAGTAAGATTCCGTTGCTCGCTCAATTCGCGGCACTTGTGGATTACCAACCGAGTCATCACACAAGTCATCGCACAGAAGGCGATGCCAATCTCCTGTCGTAAAGCGAGAAGTATTCACGTCGCATGGCTGTTGCAAAACGTGACCAGGCGCAGACAGGTGCGGCTTGCTACCGTGCACATGTGCTCCCGTTTGTCAGCGGCGCGAGTGATGGAGGATGTGTTTCATGAAGTTTCACGTGGGACGACATTTTTGGGGGAGGGAGGTGCAGCAAGTATCCCGTGGATGGGAGGATTCTCCGTGCCTCCAACGGACGTCCCAGTATGCTGTTGGTTTGTAGACTCCCTTGTTGAATTCGCCGACCCACCCAGGCTTCACAGTAGCCAGCAGTGCGATCCGCTTTCAATTTTCCATTTGGGTCGAGCTCCCGAGTTCCCCACGCCGCTTTTCCGGAACACGGCTGGCCAAGCAGGCACACCAGCCGTCGACCATTGTGTGCGTATGCGTGGCTACAGTGCTAACTACGCGCGAGGATGACTCTTCGTCGGAGTGACCTCTTGTGGTGCGGGCCCACAGGGGTCCCCTCAGCCATGGCCTGTGCGCTCGTATCTCTCCCTCCTGGGGTCTCCTGCAGCCGCGCGCTCAGGGCCACCCCATCTGCGTGGAGCCGACCAGAGGCTCGCTTCTGGTCTTGAGACACTCGCTTCATGGCCCCCCGGCCGGACGGGAGCTTCCTGCGGCTCCCATCGGGGAGTGGCCGGTCGTCGTGGGTTTTTTATTCCCCGCGCCGGAGCTGACAGACCGGGCGACAGACGGTCTGGTCGTTGCCACCCCCCCCCCCGCCACAATTCTGCTGTGGTCGAGGCGTTAGCCGTGGGCTGCTCGTCGACCCCGCCGCACGCCGGAGTGTCTGCCAGCCGCTGTCCCCTCCTTCGTCTCGGAGGAGGAGTTTCACCAGAGAAAACAAGCCCAATCAGTGGATGGCTCGGAAGTGAGTGTTATGGATATCGAGATCGATTGGGAGATCGGTCGTGGAGTCGATAGTGAGGACGATTGTAAGGTCGATCGTGAGACCGATAGTGAAGTCGGTTCAATGAGATCGATATTCATATCGATCGTGAGATCGCTCGTGCCATCTGTAGTGAGATCGATTGTGATATCGATCGTGAGATCGATAGTGTGATCGATAGAGGTTGGTAATGAGATCGATGGTGGTGAGACCGATCGATAAGAAGAACGACCAGGAACCCGGGAACCAGGGAATCCCGCCACCCATCGAAATCGGTCCGGAATTTGGAACCGGGAACCCAGGAACCCGTCCCTTGGAAGTTGTTTTGGAGTCCTCTTGGAGCGCCTGGGGGATTCTTGGATGCCTCGGGGATCCTCTTGAGGCCTCTTGGGGGTCTAGGGAGCCTCTTCAGGGCCTCTTGGGGACCTCTTGGGGCCTCCTGGGCGCCTCTTGAGGCCCTCTTGGGGCGCTCTTGGGAGCCTTGGGAGCGCTCTTGGGGCCATCTTGGAGGTGATCGATCAAAGGAAGGGGGTCCCCCAATTAGCGTCCCCCCTCGGGAGCCTCTAAAATCGGCCCACACCCTAGTAAAACCGATGGTTTTGGCTTCCTCGCCGAGGCCGTTTTGGACGCTCCAACTACCAGCGGAACCCCCCGTCCAGGTCCAGGGGAGGGGGCTAGGGGGAGGGGTAAACACCTCCCCGAAGGGGAAGAAGGGAAGATGGAAGAGGAAACTCCCTAAACCACCTACGCCCAGAGGGCTGGTGGGATTGGCCCGGAACTTTCGCACAATTTTTCAATATCCGCTAGGACCCCTTCAGTGCAAGCACTTGATTGGGGGAAAAAAGGTCCAGGCCAAAATCAAATAAAGTAATACAAACAACAACATGAAAAGGATACCCCCCCCAAACAGAAGAATTTTGGAGGAATCCAAGAGAAACCGAAGGAAAAAGAGGAAGGAGGAGGAGGAGGAGGAGGAGGAGGAGGAGGAGGAGGAGGAGGATGAGGAGCAGGATGAGGAGGATGAGGAGGAGGAGGGGAAGGGGGAGGGGGAGGGGGACAGGGCCGCTCATCCCCCCCCCTCTCCTTCGTTTTTTTCTGTTCCTTCTCCTGATCCTTCCCGTCTCATGTTTTTCTTTTTCCTCCTCCTTCAGCCTCCCCCTCATTCTTCCGCCCTCCCTTCCCCTTCCTCTTCTTCGTCCTCGTGCGACCTGCGAAGCAGGGCCTGCTGCAGGCAATGACCTTCTCTTCAGAGACACTGCCATCCCAGCCGTTAACTCGTCTTCGACTGTTGGCACGATCCTCCCGGCGCAGTGCGCTCCCTCTGCAGCCCTTTGGGTCAAGAGGAGGTGCCTCCGCGCGCGCCTGTGCGCGCGCGGGCGCCCCCGCGCCCCCCCCCCCCCCCAGCCGGCCGCCTCCAGTAGAGGTTCGCCCTCCCGCCTGGGCGGCCCGCTGGCACGCGGGCCGCTGCCGAGGGCGCGCCCCGCGGGCGCGTGGCACGGCGGCGGCGCGCGCTCCCCGGGCCTCCCCGGCATGCCAGGAGAGAGAGGCGCGGAGGCTCCGCCGCGGCCGCGGCGGGCCCAGGCCTGCAGCCGCCGGCGCGGCCGTGCTCTGCGCAGGCCAGCGGCGGCGCGGCCGCCGCTCCTCGGTGTCGTTGATCCGATCCCCGTTCCCCCAATCCCATCCCCATCAAACCACCCCAACCCAACCCGAAGGCCCAAATTTATCCTCGATTTCCAGTGGGGGGGGGTCGGGGAACATTGAGAAAACACATGCAATCCGTACCCCCCCCAACCCGAAATTCGGGTCAAATTAGTCACATCCCCCATCCCCATCCCCATCCACACCTCGAGCCCCACCGTCTCACCACCACAGTCTGGGGATCGGCCCCTCGGAGCCCGAGGGGAGCAGCCGATGTCCCCCATCGGTGGGGGGGCACAGCGGCGAGTGGGGCCCAGCCCACGCCGGTGGGGATGGGGATCGGTTCGGCGATGCTCAGCTCCCCCTCTGCGCAGGTGGCAGCTGCGGGCGCGGGCGGGGCGGAGGCGGCCGCGGGCCAAGTCGAGCCGTCCAGAAGCCCGTATCGAGGGGTCGTCGGGGCGCTGCCGAGGGTCGCGGTCGCTCGCGCGGCGCCCCCGACTTCCGCGCTCCCGCGGACCGCGGGGAAGGAGGCGGCAACGCGGAGGACGGCCTGGTGCCAACCGGTGGGGACAGTGGGGTCAAGGCGTCCGTCTGGCACGTGGGGTGCTACCCGAGGGCCCCACGACGTGGTGCCAATCGGTGGGAGCAATGGGGTCAAGGCGTCCGTCTGGCACGTGGGGTGCTACCCGAGGGCCCCGGCGCTCATCGAGACGCGAGTCTCTTTTGAGGGGGGTGTTGCCGCCGTCAAGATCAGCCAGCGCGCAGGGGGAACGGGGCGATTCCGAGAGCGCCGCCTTCGACGCAGTTTTCAAGGGCACTGGCATATGTGCGGTCGACAAACGGGATGACAACGAGATGGTGCGCGTCTTTGAGAGCGATGTTCCCCCGCTCATCCACTTCTGCGCCCACGACGACGACCGCGATACGTGTACTGGTGGAGAGGCGCATGACGCGCCCATGCAGCATCTCCCGACGTGGCGTTACGCGACGCCCCCCCGTCGAGGGCTATAGGAGTGACGTGCGCAGAAATCTCGAGGGCGAGAAGGCCAAGGCCCCTGCGAGAGATTACCCTGCCGACGGTGCGGGTGGGAAACCGCGTGGTCGTGGCTCTCTCGGGCCCAGGCTTGCAGCCAAGGGCGCGCCTGGACCTGGCAGGGGGCACTTGGAGAGAGGGGCTCCAGCATTCAGAAACGCTTGGTCAACCTCGGGGAAGAGCGTCAGGGAGGTTCGTGACGGGGCGCCGCTGGCGCCACCAGCATCGGGATTTGACTTCTGCCGCGGCGACCACTCCACCGTGCCGAGGATGTGCTCGTCAACTCCTCCACCCTTTCTTAGGTTCAGGTTAGCCCAGCCGCTTCGCCGCGGCCCGAGTCGCCGCGCCTTCGGGAGCGCGACAGAGGCGTGGGGGGCAAGCCGAAGCTACAGGAACGCCTGGCTGCGAAGGCCAGCTCGGAGGGGGATGACGGCGACAGGGGAGCGTCCGCTGACCGCGGGTCGCGACGCTCCAGGGGCCGCGGCCGCCGCGGGCGCGCGCGCGATGGAAGGTCCGACAGCCGCGGCCGCAGTGAGACGCCCTCCCCCTCAGGCGGGGGGCGGCGTTTTTGTGTCCGCCCGGCTCTCGGCGCGCGATCTGGACAGGAGGGCGGTCGAGAGGAAACCGGGCGACGTCGCCGATCGCACTGTCAGCAACCTCACGGTCCATGTCGGCTGCCGTGGCATCGCTCTCGAAGATTTTTCGCTGATCCTGCAGACCTTCTTCGCGAGCGTCTACCTGCCAAGCGTGATTTCGACGGTCAGCCAGCGCACCGAGCAGGGAATGCGGTTATCGATCTGATTCTTGTTGGGGAGCTGGCGAAAACGACAGACATGCTGGTGAAACAGTGCAAGTTGATCGAGCAAGTGGTGGCCGATAACAACAGCTGGAGGTCGCCGCCCTACTTGGACATCGCCAGTGGCAGCAAGGACGCGGTCTTCGAGGGCGGCGAGAAGGGGCGCATCAGTCAGGGTGAGAAGGCAAAACTCAACGTGGAGAGGCTCCAGCCACATGGGCAGTCTAGCCCCGAGGGGCGCGCGTTGACGCCCCCTTTCGGCGGCGGCCGCGTACCTTCGTCGAGGACCTGCGGTCGCCGAGGCCACGGCCAGATTCCAGGCGAACGGTAGCGTAGTGCCTGCGAGTTCAAGTCGCGATGGGCGAGTGCAGTGTTCGAGGGCCGCGCTGGTCGGAGGGCGCATTGCGAAGCGGAGGGATGAGCAGGAGGCAAGGACTTCTGAGGAGAGGGCATGGGGCGGAAGGGTCTATTGCAGCATTGTTGATGCATCCTAGGTTGACTATGACCCTCTTTCTCCTTCGCCTCTTCTCTCCTTCCCCCCCTCGTCCTCCATCGTTCTCCCCATCCTCCTTCAGTCCGGCCAGACCTGGGGAAGCTTCGGTCCTTGCCCGCCCCGTCTGTGGGACCCAGTGGCTTCAACATCCCTTGCGAACGATCGTCGCTTCCCCCCGTGGGGCTGGTCCTCTTCCCTCGTCGGCGGCCCATGGACACCGCTTTCAGAAGTCGGGAATAAGAGGCTCTACCACGCGTCTGCGATCCCTTCTAAGAAGCTCCGGAACGCTCTGGAGCGATTTATCCCGATCTTAGCCCTGTTTTACCCTGCCTTCTTCGAATATCGCTCATTTCGCTCCACCCCCTCCCGCGCGTCGAGAGCCCCCCACGCCCGAGGTGCCCATCACCTCCTCGTGCATGGTGGTCGGCAGTTCGTTGGGCCAGGCTCATGTTGCAGACTTCAGCCACTACACTGTGACAAGGGGGGTGCAAGGCATGAGAAAGACGAGAAGTGTATCCACGTCATGGATTTATCGGTATCCACCGATTCGGAGAAATGATCCCGAGAACATTTCGGAGCGTTCGAGGTGGCTACGGGCGGACCGACGTGTAACATTGAGGTCGATTCGGGGAGCGTACCCTCATGTTTTTCGTGTTTGCTGGATGTTCTTGTGCATCCCGGGGGAGGGTAGCGAAGGTCTTTAGAACCCTCCGCAACCGTGGAGTCTAATCATCGTTTCGACGCCCTGATTGACGGACTCGGGCCCCACCAATATCGGAACAGAATTAGGATCAAGACGAGGAGGAGCAGGAAGAGGAGGACGAGGAGGAGGAGGAGAAACAGGAAAAGGATGATGATGAGGAGGAGGAGGAGAAAGGGGAGAAGGAGGAAGAGGAGGAGGAGGAGCAGGAGGAGGATGATGACGAGGAGGAGGAGCAGGAGCAGAAAACGGAGGAGGAGGAGGAGGAGGAGGAGGAGGAGGAGGAGGAGGAGGAGGAGGAGAAGAAGGGACGAGCTTTATTTCCCGCCGAGAGAAACAGGGGGAGGGAGGAGCAACACACACCCTCACATGTTCTTCAGTTTGGCAAGCTCGAGGTCTCATGTCCTTGAAGGATTTTCTTCTGTCCTAGGTCGGGCCGTACCTTTCAGCCCCTAGAGGACGCGAACCGTCCACTTCCAACGCTCCGCGAGGTCCTCAGCGGTCGATACTAATGAACTCCCAGCGTGGCGGAGAAGGAGTAGGAAGAGAAGGATGAGGTTTAGGATGAGGATCAGGATCAGGATCAGGATCAGGATGATGATGCTGATGATGAAGAAGATGCAGCTGATGATGATGATGGTGGTGGTGATGATGATTCTGATGACGATGATGCTGATGCTGCTGATGCTGATGATGTTGATGACGATAAGGTTGCTGATACTGATGCTGCTGATGATGCTGCTGATGATGGTGGTGGTGGTGATCATCATGCTGATGATGTTGCTGCTGCTGCTGATGATGATGCTGCTGATGATGTTGACGATGTTGATGTTGATGATGAGGATGATGATGATGATGATGATGATGATGATGCTGATGCTGATTATGATGATGATGCTGATGCTGATGCTGATGATGATGTTGATGATGATGATGGTCGTGGTGGTGATGATGATGGTGGTGGTGGTGATGATTATGATGATTATGCTGCTGATGATGATGATGCTGAGTATGATGATGATGGTGATGCTGATGATGATGATGCTGATTATGATGATGATGATGATGATGATGATGATGATGATGATGATGATGATGATGATGATGATGATGATGATGATGATGATGATGATGATGACGATGACGATGACGATGATGATGATGATGATGATGATGATGATGATGATGATGATGATGATGATGATGATGATGATGATGATGATGATGATGATGATGATGATGATGATGATGATGATGATGATGATGATGATGCTGATGATGATGATGATGATGATGATGATGATGATGATGATGATGATGCTGATGCTGATGATGATGATGATGGTGATGATGATGATGATGATGAGGAGGAGGAGGAGGAGGAGGAGGAGGAGGAGGAGGAGGAGGAGGAGGAGGAGGAGGGGCCGGCACGTGCATGAACGCTTCATGCTTGGCGAAGTGGGCCGCGCTGTTGCAGCGGCCGCGGGTCTCAGCACGCTGGCGACGGGCCTTGGTGTGGCCTGCGACATGGCCTTCCTCCTTCAGGCGCGACTCCCGCCGTCCAGCTGCCGCCCCCGCCCCCTCGCTGCTGGCTACGCCGTGGGTGGCAGGGGCAGCCGAAGCAGCGGCGAGCATCCTCGGGAAGGCACCCTCGGGCATGTCAGGTGCCTGCTCCAAGCACTGTGCGGCCTGGCGTAGGCACGAGGAGGCGATGCAGGCGCTGGCGCAGGTCCTAGTCCTCATTCTCGAGAGACACGCGGCTGCTAGCGCTGCTGAAGCCAGGCGGCGGCGTACGGCCTGCCACTTGCATGCGCCGAGACGCTGCGCAGAAGGGCGGCTAATGCGGCGCACAAAAGGGCCATCGCTGGCGCGGTGGGGCCTCGGTAAAGTCGGTCTAGGCCGCAACGACGGCCTCGAACCGATGCACTGGATCGTGGCGACCACGATGGAGAGAAAACTCAGCGCACCAGTTGTTTCACTGGGTGTGGCGAGCGCATTCAACGAGCTCGGCGCTGCTGTGAGAGGCCGCCAGCCACCTCCGCACGCGCTCTCGGCTGGCGACAGCCTGGGACGGAGGCGACAGGGCGGCCCCAGTACATGCACAGCCGGGGGAGGACCAGGGTTTCCCCTGGTTCTGACGGTTCTGGTGGCGGCGCTCTGAGGCGGCCACGAGCCGACGGCGGGGGGGTGCATACTGGCGGCCACGCGCCGGCGGCGGGAGGTGTCCTCGCCGCTGATCCAGTCAGCGTTCCTCGGGGCGCCGATTCAACCAATTGCGATACGAGTTTACAAACAAACGTTTTCCAATACACAGCAGGATGAAGCTGTTCAGCGGCACGATCACGCCGACCGTGATGTACGGGTGCTCCTCTTGAACCCTCACCAAAGACATGCTCCTAATTTTACGGCGAGTCCAACGAAAAATGCTCAGATTTATCATGGGCGTACCGCGACGTCGCAAAGCACACAACCAGAACGCCCACGATGACCACGAGACCAACCAGAACACGACCGACAGCAGCACAACAAACTGTGAAGACCCACCGCACAGCACGGTGAATGACGAATGGGAGGACGAGATGGAACCGTGGACAGAATACATACGCCGAGCAACCCAGATCGCCACAGAGCACGCCGAGCGCTCAAAGATGGTGCATTGGACCACGTTGTACTTCAAACGGAAGTGGAGATGGGCATCGCGAGTTGCGACGCACGGTTGCGACAGGTGGACCTTCCTATCTAGCATGTGGGAACCAAGCAACCACGACCATCGACCTGCACAGCGACATCATGGAGGTCAAAAGAAGCGTTGGGATGACGACATCACCCACTTCCTCCACACCACAAACACGACACAGCACAGCGACGCCCACAACGACAGCAGACAATGGTTATCAACCGCATCAAATTGGCAGACCTGGAAGTCAATGGAAGATACGTTCTTGGCCTACGCTGGCAACTTCTACCGCTTGGACTGATCGGGCCCCGACCCGCCGCGCCCTTCCTCTCCCTTCTTGTCCCTCCTCGTAGTCGTCGTTATCGTCGAATCGCCGTCGTGTCGCCCTCCCCATGCGTGGAACCTTCGCGGGTTCACAGGAACTTGACCAAGCAGGGCTAGCAGTAAGAGCGGTAGCATACTCGTTTTTTTCTCGGCGCTCCGGTGCCACCGCCGGGCTCTTGTAGGGCCGTCCCCCTGGGACGTCTGACCGGCGCCTCGCCTCGCCTCGCCTCCTCGGGGCGCCCAGTGGGCCTCCGCCTGAGAGCGCGGAGCACGCGGGTCTGAACCCCCCGCGGCCTGGCCTTCCGCGGGCCGCTGGCCAGGGCTGCGGCGCCCGACCTCGCGCGCGTGGAGTGCATCCCGAAAGCCACGGCAGCCCTGCGCGCCGACCCTGCGGGGGCGAGCCTCTCACTGGGCAGCTGCCCCGCAGGCTCCTCGGGACCCGCTGGGCGCCCACCTCGCGGCCCTGCGGCGCCTCCGCGTGCGCGCGGGACGAGCTCGCGCCTCCTCGCACATTCGCCAAAGGCGCGGCCCTGCGCCACGCGAGGGCGCACCTGTTTGGCACAGTGTGGGCGCGCGCCCGTCTCCTCCGCATCCCCGTCCCTGCCTGCTCGTTCCGCCTCTCCATTCTGCCCCTTCCCCAAGCAGGTCTTGTCTCAGGGCCTTGTGCAAGATGCGGCAGGCCAGGGCCAGTGCGTGCGGCCGCCTCTGCATTTGCAGCCAGGGTGCGCTTGCCGCGCTCCGTGGTCTCCGCTGGACGTGGCCCCGGACAGCGGAGCGTCACGCAACCGTTCGAGCGATCCCGTAGGGTTGCAGCGAGTGCTGGCTCGGGCACGCGGTGGCGGAAACGGCACGGGTGTCGTGGCGCCGTCCGCCTCCGCCCGAGTTTGACCCGCCGGGCTGTCATATCCGTGGGGGGCTGTCCCAAGGCGGGGAGGGGCACCGTGGCTGCCTCTGCATCGCGCCACGGCGCCGTCGGGTCCGCCAAGACCGCGGGCGGAAAAGGCAAAACACGAACAGTCGACTTGGCTCATGTCTTGTGTATCATCCACGCCCTAGCGGTCTTGCGGTCTTTTGTTTTTGTGTTGCCTCTATGCCTTCAATTTGTCGGCTGCGCATCTGTTCAATGTGTTAGGTCCTTGCGCTTACGATTTTTTGCTTTTCTTATCGGCTCAGCAGCTCTGTTGTTATGTGTGCTCAACGCAAAAAGGAGGATGAGTCGGATGATAAGAAACATGAGGAGTAGGAAGAGTAGGAGGAGGAGCAGGAGGAGGAGGAGGAAGAGGAGGAGGAGGAGGAGGAGGAGGAGGAGGAGGAGGAACAGGAAAAGGAGGAGGAGGAGGAGGAGCAGGAGGAAACGGACGGGGAGGAGCGCCATGGAGCTATGGATGTGTCGACCGGGTCGCTGAAGGGGTTCTACACAGGCTTCTGCTTCGCCGCCCTCTTTGCGAGTTCGCCCTTGCTGAAGGCCTTGGGCCAGAGACCCTGGTATATTCGCTTACGGTAATCAGTTCGATTACCATCTAGGCGGCTGGAACACTGTTCGCTGAGTTTCGCGAGCTGTTCGGCCGCGAAACTCCCACAGGCATTACAGAACCACACCCCTACCCTCTTGTGAGACCTGAGTACGTGCGAGTGGTGAGCAACCCTCCCAGAGATATGCACCCCGGCCCCAGGAGAAGGTTCAAACACCTCGCCGTCCACAATTAGGTCAAAACACTGTGAGTCCAGCCAATCCGAGCGTGGGAGGTTGACCCACGGCACTTAGTGCACGAACGATGTTTCACTCTCCCTCGGGTGGCCTCCGCCAGGCGCGCCAGCTCGGCGCCGCAGGCGGCCAGGCGGTCAGCCTCGCGATTGCCCACGATGATGTACCGTGGGTTCTGAGCCGAGGCCTGGTCCAGCTTAAGGTGGGAGTTGACGAACATCACCGTGATCTCCCTCCTGCCGTGCAGCTCGCGCCCGATACTGTACCACAGATCTGCATCGTTGCCCGTTGGTGATCGCCACTGCTGCCCGTGCCATCCTGAACATACTGCTGCATTGTCCGTCACACAGTACATATGTCCAGGTACGGTCCTGATCGCATACCAGAGGCAGTACAACTCACCACGAGATACTGTTTGCCTCATGCCTGGTAAAGCAGCCCAGCCACCACAGACCGTCTGCATGTTCTCGCCCAGCTCGTCATATACTGCAAGTCCCATGCCCGCTCGACGTAGCCTGGGCGACACGGTATCCTTCCCGCCACGTGCATCGCCGAAGCAACACCATGGTCTCTCAGTAGTCCCTGGGGCCAGATCTGCGACTGTAGACTCATCCTGGAAAACCCATCTTTCGTGTTCTGGAGGCGGCTCCACTGCAATCCACTTGGTTGGGATGAGCCCTCTGGTCCAGAAACACTCGTCCGCCTCAGCCTGAGTGGAGGCCTTGGCCGAATACTGGTCCCTGAGTTGATACACTGGGCTGCTGGCCTTCGCCGAAAACTCGTCTTTTCCTCCTGATTGCATCGAGCACACATGACCCATAGCTGCTGCTTACAACGTGCTTGTCGCCTAGCCCGAGGCCAGGAAGCGCCCGCTGCAGCCGCAAGCAACAGGCCAGCGAGCCTTTGCCTCCAGGTGCTTGTTCTAGCTGCTTCAGCAGCTGCCTGTAACTGTGGTTGCACACTCCGTCTTCCATCCCTGCGCCTCCGAAGTGCAAGGCTGCCTTGCGCCAGAGATCTGCTTGTATTGAGGACTGAAATTCTTGAAAGAAATCGTTGTGGACGTCGTTGGCCTCCAGTCCTGTCAAAGCTTCAGTCTGAAAAACCCATCCGCTGGTGCGATCAGGCACATCCCAAGCTGCAGGCTGGTGGGGTTCCCAACCAGCTTGGAGAAGATGAATGATGGCATCGGCCTGGGGTCCTCGCACACGTCTACACCTCTGAGCCTCGGGTCTAGCGGACAACTCTCGAACTGGCCCAGGCCAGGTGCGTTCGATGCCCCCTCGAACCTGAGGCTCAGAGATCCACACTCTTATCCACATCCGCAGGGTTTCGGACGGGAGGCGGTAACTGGGATCTCTGTTCGGCGTGACTAAGTCGAGGAGAGTCGTAACACACCGTCCAGAGGAGGAGGAGGAGGAGGAGGAGGAGGAGGAGGAGGAGGAGGAGGAGGAGGAGGAGGATGAGGAGGATGAGGAGGAGGAGGAGGAGGAGGAGGAGGAGGAGGAGGAAGAGGGGGAGGAGCAAAATGAGGAGGACGCAGTGGGGGAGGAACATGATAGGGAGGGGCAAGAAATGCAAGAGGAGGAACATCTGAGGAGGGCGGGGAGAGG